GCTCAGTGGAAAATACTTCTGCGCAATGGCCCAGCATCCACAAGTGACGGGCCGCTGTCGGTAATAGAGGATACCGCACCTCAAACTAGGGATAGAGACTTGAGATTTTTTGTGCTTTGTGACCGGCTTACTATTCTCAGCGACTGCTGGTGTGCAACGGGCCGTAAATCATCTGAAACCCAGCTGAAGGTCTGGTTTGTGATGTTTCCAGGCGATTGATTTGCTGCATCGGGCCATTTCATGTTTCAGTTTGTACGATATTCGAGATATCGCGATACCGGTATATACCTAATGCACTATGCATAAGGTTGCTGAAGACCTCGAGGAGGAAGAATTTTCAGCAACCTTATGATTAGTGCATTACGTATATGCATGTACCGCGATGTCTGAAATACCGCACCAACTAAAACATGAGGCGGCCTGATGAAGCACACTCAGTTGCCTGGAAGCACCTTTGACGAGAGATTCAGGCGAGTCGCTCGCAAAACCAAATTTGTGCGCAAATGAGGCTCTAGGTTTGTTTTGAGAAGATTAGTTTCCCGAAAACTCCTAGAGACTCCTAATTGGTTTATGCGCTTCACGAAAGCCGATAATTGACGCACAGTCGTCTTATTTTCGTTTTATCTATTGTCCAACTAGAGTGCTTCAACATATGGCCGACAAACTGCACCCTGTTTCAAATTACCTCATGATGGAAAGGCAAATTAAGCTTAATCCAAGCTTGCCCCCTTATGTTGTGATATTCTTCGAGCACCACATTTGGTTTCAAAAAATACAGAAACAATTGACAGCGTGCAGTATGGACGAATCTATGCGGAGTGCGCCTATAATTCCGGAAAACAAATGTCGAACAATTGCTCAGTTACCCACACCCATGTGCTTCATCATCCCCATTTCGTTTGAAATGGTTTACTGTAGTTATAGGGTGGCTTGAGACAGTCACAAATAATGCATCATATAATTTTTCCTGTGCTTCACAACCTGCAAATATTTGCCGATTTTATTTTGCTGACTAAGACTTCGGTTGGCTGGCTGATGTATCACGCCAATTGTAATACAGGAAATAGATAAAATTCTTCAATGTATAATTGGTAGTGACGGAAAATTTGGACGGGAGAATAAATGAGCATGTAATTGGATAATTTGAGTTGGAGAAGACCTAAAAGAAAACCAAACAATAAACGGTTTAACTGGAGTAGTCATCTCCAACGTACCAGCAAAGCCCTTGGAAATGACTCAAAGGGACAGCATTTTAGGCAAAATTGACGCCTAAGCACCAACGGAGGAATTGGGACGACCAATCTGGGTGTTGATATCTCTAAACGAGAAGGGACCAAGTGCTAAGTTTTGTTAGCTTCAAAGCATTTCGAATATCCTTAAGCCAGAGCCATACGGGCTTCCAGTGTCATTGGTCTTCTCTTTGTTTTGAGTGTTTTGACGAGAATATTCTTCAGCTTCTTTCAGTGTGGCGAGAAAAAACACAAAGGTCTTTTAAAACGAGAACTTTGAAAAGCCTTTCAAATCGGTGCAGAGTGAGCTTAGGTGTTTTGATATTACTTTACTTGAAATCTCCGTCTCTGTGGTCAGTAATCAAAGGAAGGCAAGACGTAAGGTTTGTAATGGGACTCGAGTGCCCGAAACATTCGCCGGGGTAACTGTGCATTTCAGTCAATACACTGCGTAACCAGCCTCTACAGATGCCAAATGGCAGCGAGTAAATCACTTGGAGCCCTTTGTGACCAGAACAGCATTGAATGGCATTGAATGCCTTCGAAGTGGGCTGGTGGATGTTAAACCTGCGCAGTACAAACATACAGAGTACGGCAACGGTATCAGCGTTCATAAATTGATGACTTCTGGATACATTCAGCTCCCAAACGCCGCTCACTAGAAGCAAACCCAGGTTATTTTTGCCCAAACTATACGGCCTCCGAATTTGTGGTTTTTACAGGTGAAGTCTAATCCGTTCGCACCTTTCAGTGACATGATGCTCATAGCTTTTTGTTCAAGTGAGCGAAATTTCAAGGCCACGGATCAGTGACCATCTGCTTGTTCTGCCCACGAACCCAATAGTTCATCCAAAGGCACTATTGGTGGCTCGGCATATCGGTGAAGATCAAACCTAGCCTTGCGCCAAATGCTACGTGTGCCGACAATCATGAAGAAACTTACTAGCTGTGACAAAATCCTTGGCTCCGACAGGACGCTTGCCGCAACCATAAAAGAATTTTTACATACAGGTCGCGGATGGCCGCTTCATTTTGGGTTTGAGTGGATGTTAGGGGCGTGATTATTGTCTTAGTCGTTTTGAGATAATTTCCAATTCCGATAGAGAAGAAACCACGCGAAGGAACCAACTTTTCCACTAATTTTCTCACCATTTGCATAGAGGCAACGCGTGAAGCCATAGGCAACCACTATAATACGAATCCCGCGCCCACAGTGGACTCCGAGTTAGTTTTAAAAAATTCTGATAAAACTGTGGCTGCGTGCGAAAATGTTAACGGCCTGGAATATATACCATCAATTACTAAAATATCATGTTAAAGATTCCTTCCTTCAAACTACGGTTTCAGAAAAATTTTGGGTGTGCATCCAAGGTTTGGCCTCCGACACAGCAAACCGGGGGAGCGGTTTACTGAGGACATGTTGTATAGCTACTTCTTGGTGCTTCTAATTAGTTGCACCTCATATGCGTCATCGCTTTCAGTCCAGACCTACCAAGTTTAATTTTTGACATGTTCTGACAGTGCCAGGTGCACAAATTCATTGTCCATTATTTCCCCAGCCTATCCCTGCTGCCGTGCCACCCTCCTTTCGCTTCTGTTTCACTGATGCTTTTAAACTGACCTCCTGATATTTAGGTCGCAGTCGCTTGGTTGTATTATTCGTGGTACATCCCTGTTTGTGTTGAACCCTGTCTGGCTTTGCGTAACTGTCTAACTTTCTTCATTTTATAGGCATCCGCACGTGGCGTCTTCTACATTGTTCTTCCGATTGTACTAATATATTAATGTCTCACAATACGCTACCCGCGCAAAAAAAACAAAATAATAAAGGTTATTATTCCGACCAGAAGCCGTTCACTCAACATTGCCAACCGCGCCACCGAACTTTGGGAATTGCATCAAAACGGTCTCCATGTTGTGCAGTCTCAGTGTTATTTTGTCAAGTAAATAAAAAAGGCCAAAGCGGAGCAGATGGTTGCGTACTTACTCGCGCTACCGGTCAGGTTGCAGGTGTTTGAATGGGCCAGAATTTAATCAAGCTGTATCTAACATTTTTAGTGTCATATGTTAAGGGAACAAGCGTGTAAATTATAGTACCCATTTTTGTGGGCGCTGCAATTTAACACTTCTCTCTTAGCTCTTCCTGGTTGAGAGATTTTTAGAACAATACTGCAATGAGATCTGCAGGCAGAACAGCTTATGATCTGTGAATGAAATGAGAATCATGGAGGGAATTCTTTGGGGCCTGCAGCTTTAGGTAAAATCAGGTGCACTCCTTAATCTTAATGACAAAACTGTTTTTCCTAGATACGGTCAACGTCCTGGTCTGTGACACATCGTCTAAAATTGGTAACTTGTATTTTCTAGGTCTTTCTGAAGAGCCATTCTCGTTCTCAATATTACCCTGGGCCTTTTTATTCAGTCGCGCATATTTGCAGTACGCCCTCAATTTGTTCATAGTTTTCCTCGGCTCATATGACCTCATTGCTGTTAAAAAAACCATATTGAACCTTGGTCACCCCTTGACACACAGCTCCCTGGTCTTTGGTCTGTTCGCTGAGTTGGGCTGTGATTAAATTGCCAAGCTCAGTGAACAGGAAAATTTTCACCCAAACCCGACACATACAATTCATCCTATGATACTGTCGTGTAACAAATCGACATGTGTTTCATGATACGACAGTGGTTTCGCAAGCAGCTTGCACTTCCGGATTTAATTTGTACCAGAAAACCGAATTGGTGATTATGGGGTTTTCCACTAAAAGGGTTTGCTTTGAAGGTTGTCGTGTTTGTTTCCAGAAAATGATCTCAAGTAGAAAAGTGCAGCTCTATAAGGCGACATGAGGCAAAGAAAAAACATTCTATTAGATGCAATTTCGACTGGATTCACTCACGATGTCTGCAATGACGCGGTGCAGCTATGTTCCCATTTAAGTGGTCATTTGAACCGAACGACAAGCTATTTCAAATATTTATACCGATACCAGTGGCTTCTGGCCGATGTGTACATTGTCCGCAAATAGTGCTTAATCATGCGAGGGTGGACCCTTAAGTAATATATTTCGGATCTTTCCACAAGTCCTAATTAATGGTTTCTTGGACTGATGTTTGTCAATATCCCACAGTGCGACTCTTGACCTCCGAAACTATGATTTAAACTATGGTTTACTGGATGTGACTATTTCGGTTCTGTCCTAACGGTAGGTTACACCTTTAGGTTGGTGGAACAATAGTTCAGAACGTTATAGTTTACCTCGGCTGACAGTTTGTTTTGAGCAATTACCAAATTATGCAGAACGTAAAACGAAACACAGTAGTCAGAAATGGTACACAACCACACAAAATACCGTTTTTCGAGGGATTGCTGTGTCAACTCAGTGGCGCAGGCCTCATCGATTCGTCGCATACATTTGCGACTTTCAGATCTATTTAAAACTCACAAATTCTGAGCTATTAGTTTCTAACAGGATGACCTCAACCTCCCTTCTTGACACAAGATTTTAGCGGGTAAATTCCGGATGAAATAGCTAGTTATCAAGGTCAAGTTAGGAAAAGTCCTAACGAAAATAGTTGTGTACGGCATTCCGTACCCGAACCGCATCAGTGATGTCTTCATACTGAACTCCGGTAACCGTCTATTGCTATTCGGGTTCTGCAAGTTTACACTTGACTGCTCTCGAATTTTGCCAAACATTTTAGCGCACAGGTTCACCTAACTTTTGGAATTCTATGGGTAATTTCCTGAAAGCAAAAATGCTTGAAATATACTTCAAAGTTTGTTTTTACACCATCAGTATGGGCATGCAAGTAAAAGACTGCTTTAGTATGCTTTCCGTTCTGGGATAAATTAGTCAAACAAACTGTATTCATCTGCTTTTTCGCTCATTCTTTACACCAGAAATGAAAGTGAACATGCTTAGGTCAAGTGGGCGGTCAAAGTCCGGATCTTCTTTCTCGGCAAAATGCAAATAAACACTGGCAAACGTGCAGGAAATCAGAGCACACAGGCTGGGAACTATAAAACCCAAGAATAATAAAGGGAGAAGACAATGTTGAATCAACCATTCACATCCGTTTGTATAGGAGAACGATTCAGGCACGACGGTCGCGTCTGGACTGGGTGGAACTGGATCAAACCATCGACCAAGTTTCCCGCGATGGACTGGTTTGGACACGTTTTTACATGTGGCGTAGGAGTGTTCGTTTAGATTACAGCAAGAAAACGGTACCCATCTGATTGGAATAGCCTCGTTGGCAATGTAATAATCACGGTACGCTACAGATTGAAATGTTTTCATCGGAAGTGGGAGAGAAGAAATATCTCATTAAATATGACAAGCTGACGATTTTGAAATTCACATATGATAAAACTTGTGTCGATTAGATCAACCAGACCTGACCTCTATAACTGCTACATCTGCTACAACAGTTGCTTTCATATTACGGCAGAAAATGTTTGTGAAGCAGAAACCGAGCACCCAGCAGAACATTTCGTCTGTTTTTTAAATAAGATCGTGGGTGGACGTAGCTTCCGAAGTGCATAACGTTAACAAGAAAACCAGCTAAATTCTGGCAACCCGCATTTCAATGAATTTGATCATAAACAGGGTTACCCATTCGATTGATTTGTACATATATTAGTGCAGTCTGTAACTGCATTGACTTGTTTCTCTGTTACTAACAAGTCGGCCAAAGCAGATCCGTTAATCGGACTACTGCAGTGGGTTCAGACTTCACCCAAAAATACTGACAAGCACACGAAAATATCTTGGTGATGAATCAGCATTAGGGGAACCCTGTTATGGAAAGACCTGTCATTTACTCTAAAGTCGATTGCAATGAATTTTTCGCTAATCCCTAGCGTCTTTGAACAGACTTACACTTAGTTGGGTCACTTTCAAAAAGCGAGATCAAAACAGTACATAGTATCTAATGGGTTTCGGACGTTTGGTTTGTACGCATTTCTTTCATCATTTAATGTAAATAACCGTATTTTCCGAAAAAAACGTGGAAAATTTATTTTTCTTGAGCACGACGTCTTATGGTAATCCAACTCATGGGCAGTGTACCACTTTAACTTGACAGTGAGTGAAACGGATACAATAAGTGACCGGTTTGCCCAAGTACTCAGTGGATGATTCATCGCGGAGTATTTTGATGTTCTATTTATCGACACATCCTATCGAACTGCTACACCTTGATGGCAAGTATCTGTAAGGAAAACTCGGAAAAACTCTGAACAGATACCAAGGGTTAGGGTTAGGAGGTATGGACTATGCTCCTTGGACGATAAATCCGTAACTTACCCGGTCTGGTAAAATAACTAGTTTAGAGATAGGTGTCACGGTCTGGCCACAGCCGGTAGCAAATAAACGAAAGTATAAGGAAATTCAATGCGCAAGCACTAGCTATTTGTTCTCAAACATGACCAGATAACTTTACAGAACTTACAGAACAACATTCTCTCTATAACTGTTGCCGCGTTTCTGACAGCCAGTCCTGCAATCTTAAGAGACCAGGTCACAAAACTCTTTTTTAGACTGAGGAGGCTTGCTGTGGTCTTCAGTAGACTGGAAAGGATCAAATCACATGATAAATTGAAAAAAGTATAGCGGGTTCTGATTACCCGAGAAGATCTTTTTTGTCTCATCTTTCAAGACTCCCAAAGTGACGAACACAACTTTCACAAGCTGAATTATGCCTATTATTGTAAAATACGTGAGCTGTAAAACAATCAGACTGTGAGTGGAGTTAGCATGCTTGAAACAAAGTCTAAAGAAATCGATTAAATGGGAGGCCTCTTCGAAAAAACGATATAAGAATGCAAATTTGACCACATAAAAAGCATGGACACCAAGTAAACGGTTGTCTGTAAGGCTGACAGAAAACCTTCGAGCCGGCTAAAAAATCATGGCTCATCATGAAGAATTTAGCTGGAATTCAGATGACTCTCACGTGTGCAAAGGTGTTATTCCAACAATTGCGTCAAATTTGAGCTTCAGTAGAACGTGAGGTTGTTAAGAACTCTGACACTGTGCCATTGTGATGAGGCTCAAGAAGGGCAAAAGCAGCAGCAATGTGGGAGTCTTTATCGGACTTCGGGTAGTGTTCTGTCAAGAAAATTTACTGAAATTTCTGGAACGTTCCACTAACTGAAACGCGTCTTCGCCTGTTTCCACACATTCAATTCAGGAATGTCGTGAACAAGTAGTCCAGCTTCAATCTATTTGAGTCTCGCGTTTTAACCTAATTAGTGTGCGAATGAATGGATCATATCTGATCTGGGTTTAAGTGGAACGTTAGGTTGACGGAAACTGGAGCACAGCGCTACCTGAATGGACGAATCGGGCCGTGTACTGTCAGAGTTTTCATCACAATTTTGTATAGGTGGATTTGAAGACACGAGCCTCCAGATTTTAAAGTTTTTTTACTTATGGGGCCTGCGTTGCGACATTTTGTGAGGCAGAATTGAGCACCTTCGAACACACACGAATTACACGCTCGTGTTTCAGTGCTGTTCTTTGCCGTTCACGTGATTTTGAAGAGCTCTGACCTGTCAGCAACATTCATTTGAACGGAACTAATCAACGTGATTAATTGGTCGCTAGAACATCATTTGCGGTGCAGATGATGTCGACAGTTTTTGTTGTAAAATTTGGTCCCCTTTGTTTTAGGTTTTTGTTCATCCGTGTGCATTCCGGAAATATTCGGTTTTTCTTAATTCAGTAAGATGAAAATTCACTGTTTAAAGATAAAAGACGCAGCGAATTTATGGTTTTGTAATCCACCATTACAGGGAGTACACTAAGCCAAGAATTACTATCTCCTTCAAGTTGGAATATTCTGTATCTGTAGGTACCTTTAAACGAAGATTTCCTTGAGGTCGTACTTTCTGAGTATCCAATGGTATTTTCCCTCACCTGTTTGTTGACTCTAGTCCCTTCTTATAAGAGGGGGCGTCGTTTCAGACTTAACAATATGTCATTCTATTCTAGTCTCGAAGGGCGCGTGAAAGAAAAAGAGACATGACATCAGTTATCAGTTTGAAAGGTCTCGTTCACTTGAATCAACTGAATTCTACATACATCAGGTTCTCCAATAGTCTATTAAATGTTTAACAATAGAGATCCTTACCATCTCTGATGAAAAACAGTGCTTGACTGTTTCGCTCTGTCTTGTTTAAGTGAATACTCGCCTAGGTTGACCTTGCAGACGGAGCTACAAGGATGATTAGTTAGTCAAAATTATGATTCACTGCCACATATACTTTTACACTTTAAAGTCTGTCTGACACCTAGTTCATCTTCCACTCAAGCTTCAATCATCCCAGGATGAAAATGATTTCCCAAGCAATGGGCATAGTGTACAAAAAGGTCCACGCAGTGGAGTACTGAGGAAAATACAGTTGAGAGATTAAGAGAACGGTCTGAGTGCTCGCTTGTTTCGAAAATAAGCTATCGCGCATGGACACAAACCGGAAAGATTATCACCATCAACTGCTAAATATCACTTATTTTCACAAGATTGTCCATTATCTTGGGAAGGTGCTTTTCTCAGGACCTGTACTTTTCTTGAGATGTTATAGATTTTAATAACTCAGAAAATCCTTGATGTCGTACAAGTGGAATCAGATCGAATCGATTGAGTCAACTCACATTCTCGTCCACAGCACTTCAGCACACTTTGTATGTTTGCCATGGCCATATTTTTCGGATCGCCAGGTTTGAATCCCTGGACAGAAAATGAAACTCCAGTGGGCATTGTGGCTATCCACTGAGACGCAACTGCATAAAGAGTTGCCAAAACGACGACTGTTAATATGAGCACCGCAAAGATCTGAAAATCAACGGAAGTCAACAGACAATAGGATTAGTTGTGGTGGAATCTGAGGTTAAGAATATATCGAGAAATCTACCTGAAATGACTAAATGGAACTCGTATGTGCACTGGAAGCAAATATGTGGCTGTGGATATGCCCAAATTCTTCTAATTTCATCGTTAGGGCTGTAACATTATTTTACTTCGGGAAAGGGCAGTCAACTACACGTTCAGCTTAGTCAGAATGGTTCAAATGGAAAGCGAACAATGACTCAAAAATTACGAGTAGACCGTGATTTTACCTCGATGAGTGCACAACCATCACCGTACAGCATCATCGTCCTTATCATCCTAGCAGTCTAACAGCCATGCAATACATCCAGTTTCTATGGTCTTCATCATTGACAAGGAATTAGGTGAGAAACGATGACCACTGAAGACGCTAAAGTAGGAATGATGGTTAGGTCAAAGACGTTGAAGTTCTACAAATCAATGTGATAAGTGGCCAGACGATAGTCATTCGTCGTTATCTGCGGGCTGAAGCAAGAAGCATCATCTTATGAAACAATGAAAGCTTTCTTTAGCCCATCGATGCTTGATATATACAGGACTTCTAAAGTTATAAAGGCAATTTCTGCGATGCGACTGAGTAAGTTAGCCCCTGTTTCAGTTCTCCACTGCTTTTTCATTATGAGTTGTTCTTGCAAATCAGGCCTCTGTGCAGTATGAGGTATGTGGGAAATTCGGTTTACAGAGCATTTTGTTGATCTTGCCTTCCTAAACAATGCCAATCTACTTGTATCTGTTCAGGCGGATCTTGTTGCCTTCAGATTTGGTGGCATGAGGGAGAGTGAATGAAAATTGCCTAAGTTCACCGACATGCACATGTCTATTTAACTCTAATTTTTCATGCAAACCCATATGGCTTAAGCGCAAATTTAGTTACGGTTGCGTAACCAAAATAAGCTGGCAATCTTGGCCGTCACTCCATGGAGGCGATGACTCGCTGATCACCTGTTTCTGTCACATTGTGGATGACACATTTCGACATTATGTTTTGAGAACTAAACCCTGATGAACAAATACTGAACATGAGTTGCTACACGGTGTGTGCTCTGGGTATGGGGGGCAGCGAGGCATCGGTGTGGGACACTACATCATGCTAAAATACTGAACATGAGTTGCTACACGGTGTGTGCTCTGGGTATGTGGGGCAGCGAGGCATCGGTGTGGGACGCTGATATCATGCTGTCGATGATGATGACAACGATAATGATGGTGATGATGATGTACAGATTTTGATGACTTTCGCTATCCACAGGTTCACACACAGTAACCAGCCGGGTGTCTCTCGGTCAGCCTACGTGAAGATAAGGAAACCAGTAGCAGGATTACCAGTAGTATTAATTCAGTTATCGCTCTGAGGAACTAATGCGCTGAACAATGTTCAGTGTTTGAGCTGTGTTCGCTGTTGTAAAGAGTGGTCGTTAATGGTATGTCGTAATCCACACAGAACAGGTTCTAACTGCATAAAGACTGCTGCAGCGTTTAACCCATTTTCTGACAGATAAACTGAAAGTACGTCGTTACACTGTAAGGCCGTTTTGGCTCTCATCATTTGCTGCACAAGTTCACCTATGTTCGGAAGTCCCGGAGTACTGAAACCACTAAGGGCAGCTAGTTAAACAAACCATGTAAGTAACTTGGAAACGTGCGGTTTCAGTTTGATCCTATCCAACTTGGCAACAACACTCAATCAAACAGATGAGCAACGCGTGTATTTCTGTATCTGTATCATTCGAGCTGTCTACTAATGCTAACAATATTGCGGGAAATCATATCGGAATGTGCACGCCACTTAGATGAATGAGGTTTATGAATGAATGCTCCAGGAAAACCTTGATCCCATAGGCATCTGAGATTTATCTGGGGCACCAAAGTTAAGGTTAGCATGGGCAGGGGACTGTTGAATCATGCGAGGCCTGACTTGGTTGCTTTTAGTGACTGCACATTCTACCCGAAACAGAAATCACTCTATATCTTCCACTGGCGCAATTGTTCCTACACCTTTCTTGGGATTCGTGTACCCATCGATCACTTTCTAGATGCCAGCAATGCTGTCATCCGTGTCTTCTCAACGTCTTACAGGCTGTTAAAATTTGACTTGCTTTACGGCGCAAGGATCAATCAGTCACTCAAAGGTTTCTTGGGGGGGGGGGGGAGCAAAGACGGGTTTTTTCAGTCACTCAAAAGTTTCTTGGGGGGATAGCAAGCTACGGTTCGTTAGCACGCTACCAAAGAATGGTGTTGAGTCACGTTTATCTGCTAAAATTCTTGCTGACAGTTACATTAAGATCAACTCAAGCCTTGATGGTGCAGTGATCGGAATGTTTATTTGTGATGCCCTCAACCAAACCTCAATTTTTCCAAGTGGTGGTCTTAGAACTACAAGGCCTTCCAAACCACGAAGTTTAATATTAGCTTTGCAATTAAGTAAAAGCAATTAAGACAGCCTTGTTGGCCACAAATCGATTGGATAAATTCAGTGTCACCCGAAGAGGGGTTGTCCTATTTACACGGGTGTAACGTGTCTTACAGGGAATCTAGAACCAAAACAAGCAAAGAACCAATAGTAAATTGAACGACGTGTTTCAGGAGATATGACTCCTTTCTTTGTTTTCAAATCCACAGTTGATATCTCTCCATCTCATTTGGAAATATCTTGTCAGAAGTGGCTGTTGAAATTCTTCCTCCGCTCAGTGTATTCACGTCCTTTGCCCGAAATCGTCAAACCACCAGTATCTATTCAAAGTGAATTTTAAAATACTTCCAGCTCCAAGGTTCAATGTGTAACATTTAAGCCACTTCTTATCATCTGGCCTCTTCTTAGCTAGTTCGTCTAATGCTGTCAAGCTTTCCAAATTCTCAGTGTTCGCTCCATATCTCCCTTGTCTTCCAACTAGTAGTGAGTTTCAATTTTATTCCTGGCATTCATTTTGGGTTGACCTGTTCTGCTGGTTCGTTATGTTGATTAGGATGAAGAAAACAGCAAACCGTATATTTTGAGAGGCATCTTCGAGAGGTCCTCGAGTGTGCAGGGCATATATCCCGTCCCCCAAGCGGCAGACTAGAAGGTAACTGCTATTAGCCATGGTGTCGTTTATGCCCTTGTCTACATCCCTTACGTTAATCATTCCTCCACAGGTTGGGAGAAGCGCTTACGGCAACTGTTGATTTTAAATTTCGTACACATTTCTGGTGTTGTAGTACCAATGTGGTAAGATGTTCCAGCTCGATCAAGCCAACTCAATGACTGAAAATGCTGCTACAAAACAGCGGTGAGAAACCGGCGATTCCGTTAATTCTGTTCGCTCAATTATTGGACCATTCAGTTCAGTAGTACATGCTATGTTTACGTGTACATTAACTGATCTTTACTGACACATGTTCGAGAAAAATTACCAACTGGGAGGTGAATAGCTTATTAATAGTGCATACTATACGTACCGATTGGATCAATCTTACAAACTCCCTCATTATTAATATTATACGATGAACCAGAAAGGGTATTACCACACATAAGCTGCTTTGTCAACACTGCCTCGGAGGGATTTCGTTCTTTCTAACTTGAACGACCTTTCCCTCGAATCCAGCAATCTGTTGGCGGACAAAAAATGTCAATATTTATCAACCCGAGGTTGGTGCGTAGGATGTGATCAGATCCTGATATCGCGGACTATCAGCTCACAGCTCTACTCACAATGACAAGAAGCTGTGATTCTGAAGGAAATAGCCACTATTTTGGGCATTATTCTCGGAATTCTGTAAAGACCTCTATAGACACACTATCTACAGCGCAGCATGTTCCAGCATGCGTGAGGTGAGGTTTATAGTGTTGCGACCGAAACGGTTAGTTAGGTTAAACTACAGTATCTCTTTGTAGCGACGCTCTGTACGATAAATACACGTATAATACAATCTTATTGGTAGGAAAAGAGATGTTTTTAAATGCTGCTTCCCTAAAAGACGTTGGTTCTAACTGTACAAGTTTGTACACTCATTGAGTTACATCATGAACGGGACATTGTGTTGCACTTCATTGTGCAGTGTTTGATTTGTTGTCTTTTTATGTCTCCCGCCGAATATTTCCTTAATTTGCAGAACTTTGCAGTTACTTACAGACAAAAAATACACATGTCGCATGATATGAACCAGAACTCGTATTGACCGGAAACGCGGAGGTCGTATGTCGCAGGTCATTTTAGAGCTAAAGCTTGAAAAGTCAAACCGAAAGACAAACATGGGTTGAACTGCAGTGAACAGCTGTTGCAAATGATGTCGCTGAAGGGGGTTTTCCACAAGCCAGCAAACAGACAACGTGGCCACCAAAGGCACAGTGTTATTGTGGTCTTTCCTGGAGACTGCGCCTCCCTTTCACAGCCTAATCAACCATTACACTGCTGGCCACGTAACATTTCGGTTTGGGCAAATCCGTTGCATTCAGAACAATAACTGAAGTTGTCGTACACCAGGCTGGCTCAGGACTCTCACGAACAAAGTAAATAAGAATGCTTTGCGCACCGGAAATCGTGAAGATCCAGATCCGCACGCCAGCCTTTTTGCATTCATTGTAGTCACTGCAAAGGGTGTGCCCACCGCACTTGACTCAGCACGGGCGACTGACCAGTCGTGTACCGTGAGGCCAATATCACTTGCGCTCCACTACCTTTTGATCATTCATCCACGCCTCCCTTCACTCTTACTCCGAACGATTACACTGGTTGGCCTGAGACTTCTGCGTTGCTTTTCGCTACTTACATTCGCTCTTTATGTACAGTTTGCTTCGTGTGTGTGACGGTTCTTAGGAAGTAACTCAGAAGATTTTCCTTTTCCAGATATCTGGATTATTATTTCCTTCCACATGCTCAAACATAATAACAATCACCTTGTTATTTTCCTTGTTATCCATATGTACCCTTACTTTGATGAACTTTCAAAAATGGAAGACAGTTTTTTGG